GGCCTTCCAAGGTCAGTGAACTCAGTACATAGGAGCACCTGTAGTGTAACATCATGTAACTCAGTTGTGTCCAAATTTTCTGATCAAGGAGAATATAGGGCCACAGAGAAAAGTGATCAATGATGTAGAGTGTGCCTAAGGAGAGTCACATGGAGAGAAATCATTCTCTCAGGCTTTCACAGGGATCAAATTGGTCAAGCAGTGGCCATGACTCATCCACATGGCTGACAGTAACAAAGGATCTACAAACTGCAGTATAGGGTTGCAGGATAAGTCCAGAGGGAATATGACTGTTCTTATCAGATACAAAAACTACAATTCTTGTTATATAGGTCTTGCTCTATCTTGGTCTTAACCATCTAGCAGAAAAGTATAAAAATGAGGTATAAAAAGTAAAGCCATACTATTATGTTGCGCTGTAAAAGGACCAAGGCAACAACTTTTGACATTGCCAGTCATACGGAAAACCCACTACTATTATGGTCTTCTGGACTATTTTGGAATATCTTGCTGAATTCTCACACATATAATATTTAAATGACAAAACTAAACAAAAAAAGGGGATGCAAATGAATGACCATTTTGTATCTGTATATTCAAAATAGTTAGGATAAACACACAGGTACATTCTCTTAATTCAATGAATAGAAAGATTTTTTCTAAAAGTGTTTGTAAACAGGATATCATGTCTGCATCTTGTATAATGAATAACCACTAAGAAAACAATATGCAATGTATTAATTATTGAAACTGTTCTACTAATTTGATTTGAAACTGTCTCATTGCTATTTTTTCTCAATAAAATTATGGAAAAAATAAAAACAGGAAGAAGAGAAGAAAAAAAAGTTACTGAAAACATCTACTACATTAATAAAAAAAAATGAGATGAAAAAGAAAAAACAACTTGACATAGCTGAGTATGGATGCACATGTCTGTAATCCAAGCATGGTGAGAAGCTGAGGCAAAAGGATCCTAGGTTTGAACTCAGCCTGGGCAACTTAGTGACTTAGTAAGACTTTGTCTCAAAGTTAAAAATAAAAAAATAAAAAAAGATGTAGTTCTGTGCAAAGGCTCTGGGTACAATCCCTAGTACCAAAAAATTACTTTTCAGTTGCATTAACCAATTAAAGCAGTTGGTCTTGGTCTTTTCTTTTTTACAAGTTTTAAATTATCAATTTGATCTTGTCACGATTTTAAAAGGCATATAATCAGACTCTGAAGTGTACACTTTAAAAGTATGAATTTTATGGTATCAAAATTATATCCAAATTATATCACTCATAAAAAAGAACACATGAAAAAACTCTACAGTCAATATGATGGACTGAAAATATTCCTTCATATGCTTCTTCTTAAATCTTCTAAAGTGAGTCAAGAATGAGAAATAATATACATGCACAGAATAAAAAAGTAAGATAGAAGTAGACACTTCCAAATGAATGCAACACATATTGAACAGTTACAAGAAAACAAACTGTAGTAATTGATTCAATAGACTTGAGAAAGACAATAGCTAAGAGCCTTATAGGGTAAGAGGAACAGGAATCAAAAATCTCAGAAAGGTACTCAAACTAGAGACATTATCAGAGATCTCCATGGGACTGAATATGAAGATTAAAACCTAGGAAGATTAGTATAGTCTCTCTAAGATCCCTTTTGTTATTGGTATCTCATGCCACTAGGTAGTAAGCCTTTCCCTGCACTGTCAGAAGACTCAAGGCTAGTCTCTGGATTTAGGTGATCACTAAGATTCTGTTTTTGCAGGTACATTAGTAGGTGAGGGCTGAGGTACCAGAATGAAAGCTAGTACTGAGAAGAAGTTTACCTGCTGAACCAGAAGACTCAAAGTCCTTTTTTGTTATTTGGCTCCCAAAGTATTGGCAGGTAATTCCATCCCAGGCTTATGGAGAGTATTCCTCTCAAGCTCAACAGAACAGTCCTACAGTTTTAGCAACTATGAGATGCTCTGACCAAAATGCCAGATCCTATTCACTCCCCACAGAGAAGCCTGCTACAGACAATCCTTCCTTTCTCACACATGAGGATCTGTACTCAACACCAAAGGACTTCACTTTTAGACACAGTCTGACATTCAGGAGTCTCTATGCATAGGAGGGAAGTCTTCAACACAAAAGACAGAGGCACAAACAAACAAACAGTAGAGAGCAAGTCTTCAGGAAGAAAAAGTGACCTGACAGTACGAGGCAGCTTTGACAATGAGAAAAGTTGGAAGAAGGGATATACTGATAAAATGACAAGTGGGAAGTCTTAGCCAGACTTGAAAGAAAGCCAAAACAAAGAATAAAAGCAAAATAGAAAAGAGAAAATTAGTATCTGTAAAAATATGAGGCTCAGAACTGGAAGTACAGTCTAGAGCAAAGGTGCTGAGTCAAGATGGTGGCAACCAAGAAAAAATGATGTAGTGACTTGCCGGTTTGGGCAAAGTAGCAAACCCCCCACCCCCCCCCAAAAAAAAAAAAACCAAAAAAACAAAAACAAAAAAGATGCCAGGCCTCCAGTTAAGTCATAGGCTGTGGTAGAAGAGATGGAGGAAGCTGAAAGAGATGTGTTCCAGGCCTTGTTTGCAAGGAAAAAATAAGGAATGGATTCTCCTCTTTTCTTGCAGAGGAATAAATTTCAGAACAATACATTTAATGCAAGACTTGAGAACCCTGATGCCTTATTTTAAAGCAGATCCTGAAATGGATCATAAAAATAAATTGTGATTAATGAGGTCTGTGAAATGAAAAACTACAATAAATACATCTATTTTGAGGCTAAGAAAAAAAAAGACCTTTGTATGTGACTTTCAAATTCACCTAATGGGCCGTCTGCCAAATTTCTTGTTCAAATATTCATACCCTAATTGAACTAAAGATGACTGGAAACTGTTTGAAAAGTTCTTGGCCACTTTTGTCTTTTAACCATGCTTTTGATGAATTATCATATTATGCTTTGTTAAAAGAACTCTTAATTTAGAGTTTTAGTACCTCATGGTATCATCTCAAAAGCCAACCATTTGTGGACTATGTATTTACTTTCACCATTTTGGATAATAAGATTTGGTTTCAGAACTTCTAGATCATAGATGAAGATTCTCAATTTACAGAAATAGGACCTCTTTTGGTCTTAAATCTGACAAAGATTTTTCAGGGGAGCTTTGGAGGACCAACTTTGTATGAAAATCCTCACCATCAATTACTGAACATGCATTGGCTGATCATTAGATCCATCACAGTGGCAAAATACAAAGAGAAGCAACAAATAAAAGATGTACAGAAAATGAGAAAGAGCCAAAGACTGTTCTTCTACATGGTCCTACTGAAGACATTTTTGTTATGCCAGCTGAGGAAAAACCAGTAGAAACATAGTAGATAAAACCAGAGCCTAAAGTTGATTTGAAAGCAAGGAAAAAAAGGATTTACAAAAGGCAAAGAAAACTGAAACAGAAGATGAATAGTGGAAGTGCAAAATGAGTGAGTGGATAGTTGTTTTCCAATTAATATCTATTCCCTATTCAGTATATAAATATATCTACTATGTCTAACTAGTGTGTCATGTAAAAGAAAAAATGTCTTTTATTTTTTCCAAATAAAACACTGTATCACCAAAAAAAAAAAAGAAGTTCTACAAGGATTTATAATCATAGTCAAGTTCTTGGTTTATCATAGTATTTACTTCTCTGTAATAAAGAAGTCTGATTACCAATTTAAAATAAAAATGTATAAAAATGACATTGGAATAATAGGTGGAAAGAATGTATGTGTGAGAGAGAAATGATTCAGGAGAATCACTATCGTTTTCTTGGGAAGAAAATAGATAATAACTGTCAATATCTAAAAGTTGTCAGAGTTTCTTCCTGAAGAACAGCAAGAGCTGAAAATGGCTGCTCTCAGGGAATACAGACTAGACATTTATCAGGCTCAGCTAAGGAATCACTGTTTTATGTTAGAACTTTGTAATATTTCTTTTCCTTTTATAAATCATGGGCATATATTGCTATACTAAAAATGCACATTTAATTAAAAAGTAAGATCGATGCAGCCAGATTAAGGGGTCAGTTAGTAAACACACACAGGACAAAAATGATCTAGAATAGCTGAGTCTGAACTTTTCTGCTCCATATCCTAGCTGAAGCGCTGCTTGACCTACATGTGTGCCCTCATTTACTTCTGGCTCATTTCAAGGGTTAATGATACCAAACTGCAGAGACTGATGTCTGTGGAAAGGGTGGCAGGATCAGATATTAGAAAGTTACAACTAATATTTATTAAGTGATACAATGTGGCCCATAAAGACCATCCAAGTGAAAACACTGGAAATGTATTACTCTGAAGTACAAGTGATTTGGTTCTAAATAAAAGCAGAGTTTACAGCTTCAGCTTGTAGACTCTTTATCATGGGGGTAGTTCAATTAGCATGCTCTAGTGAAAAAAAAAACCAAGAAAGCCCAGGAGTGTGTCAGAAGCAGAAGTCAAACTCAGCTTGGGCAAAGCTTGTCTATTGTCTGGATTTTTCTACATTATCTGTCATGTTCTCCAGATTCAGAGGCTGGTAGCCAAAGGCCTAGCTTTCCACAGGCATCTTCCAGAAATACATTTAAATGAAGAAAAATTGTCACCATGATTACTATATTATTAAAACAGTGAAAAGAAAAAGGAAGGCTACAGGGGAAAAATATAAGAAGAACTTCCAAGTCCTCAAGAAAGGAAAGAATCCTGGCTTGCTGGGTCAGCATGGTCTGAGTAGTCTCCAGTAGAGGCACATGATCACAAGGCTGCTGTCAGTCAGGGAGAACTCGCCAGTGTTACTGGACTATATGTGGGGACAGTGATGACTTGCATACTCTGGATCCTATACACGCAGGTGTAAATCAAGGCTGGTGAATCACTAGTTGTGATGGTCACTTGAACTTACTCTTCCAACAGGTAAGAGGCCCTAGGTAGTCTTGGCTGCACACTTCCTTTTCTGGCTAAAAGGGTAGTACTCTGCAACGTACCTTGAGTTCATCTTTGCTCTGGAAGTTATCCAGGAGATGCTGGTAATGAGTGTCACACATTTGACGAAGCAGTGAGAGAAGACAGGACACATACTCTCCCTGTTGGCCAAAAAGAAAAAAACAAAAAACAAAAAAACCCATTTATTACAGTCAATCAGACAGGATATGTTTTCCCAACCCACAAAGGGAAAGGAGAGAAGGGAAGGTCTGAAATGGCCCAGATGATCATGGAAGAAAGGTGACAATTCTGGCCCTGAAAAAAAATCAATCTTTTCTAGCAGGCTTAGTAGTTTTAATAAGGATTCTGAAGAATGGGGCTATTGAAAATGCTGAACTATAACAAAACAGTACCAAAAAACAAGGCAAATATTCTCATTTTTTCCAGAAAAGTTTTGGCTAAAGTCTTTTGTTGTCTGAACATCATAATGAAGTCTGTTGGATTTTTGGAAGACAGTGTGGCCTTCTCTGGGCAGAATTTATGTCTATCTTCCTAAAATAGAGAAATTTTTCTTACAAGGAACTCCTTGGAGTCCTCCCAGAGCTTGCACAGGACAATTGGTCAGATGGAACAGAACAGATCTAAGGGCTGAAGGGTAAAACAGTACTCTCTCAAGTTCATTACTATGTTTAAGGACACCTTTGCCAAGATCTTTAGCATGTAAAAAGCAGGTTTTGAATTTTATTTTTAAATAGTTTCATATTGAAGCTGAGAGTTACAAACAAGTTGAGTGGCAGACCTGGTATGCTGTGTCTTGATACATAAAGCTGTTGCCAGAATCTTAGTAAACACAATGTTTTAAAGTTTGTTGTCTTTGTATATTCATAAGAAATTATGACAAGCTAAATTTAAGTGAGAACTGTATTACTGCTCTTATGTCATATTTTACTAAGATTTTGTGCCTTATATCTCTTACTGAATTACTAGAAATGTTAAGAGGAATTGATAAATCATTTCATTTTACATTTGTATATAATCAGGTAATATAATTTGATGTACAGTTTTGCCTGTTACAGACGGTGTGCTAATTATAATGGCATATGTACAGAACATTTTGGATTGGCAATAAGCTGAACAAATAGCCATTTTACCTAAAAATATTTAAAAAAAATAAAACTTGTTTTGAGAAAACAAGAAAACATGGCCTTTAAGACAAATAACCTAAACCTGTACCCTCAGAAGAATGTAAACATTATTTACTGGAAATAAGTACAAATAAACTTTTTAAAACTTAAGGATAAGTATAAATCTTTAAAACTTCCTTAAATTTGAACTGTGGTATATGGAAGAAAATCTTGCTTTAGGGATTCCAAAGACCAGTAATTCTAGCAGTTTTTTTAACATAAGGTAGCCAATTACGGCTTCCTACTAAAACACTGCCTCCTAAAAGAGAAGGATAAAAAGTACTGACATGATTTTCAAATACTGTCAAAATTATGGAAATCTGACAAGTTTTTAAATCTTCCAAATCTTTTCTAGATCCCTGAAACTATTTTATATGCATGTATGTATGCATATGAACTTTAGTTTTATCTTAAAAACAGGGCATAAGAGATCAGAATTTCAATCTTCTAATGTGAAGACCAGAAGAGTTAATGTAGACAAGACACTGAGGCATAAAGTCCAGTAATAAAGAGGTACCCAGTAAACTACCATCATATCACCATCATTACAATCTATATAAAATTAATCACTTTGTTAGTAATATTGGCTAGTTGCTTAAAGCACAGTGTGACCCAGGGCATGCACTAATAAATCTCAGGTCTGGATATCTGGACATAACAGGGTGCACATGTTTATATCTACAACCAGACTGCTCTCAATAAGGGATGCTAAAGCTACAGATGAGTAGATACTCTTTCCAAGCCCAATGCTCCAGAATACAATCCTGACTTGGGCATCCTCTCAGTTCTCCTTAGCATGCTGGAGTTTTGTTTGTCCCCATACAGGATTTTCTTAAGAAAGCTCTGTAACCTTTCATCTGTCAAACAAAAGATTCCATAAAAACTGTTTAACAGCATGGTAGCACATGAACTACCCAGAACTATGGGAAGCCAAGGCAGGCGGATCCTGAGTTTGAGCCTGGCCTGGGTAACTTGGTAAGGCACTACCTCAAAATAAAAAAGAAAGGATTGGTAATATAGGTTAGTGTGAAGGCCCTGGGTTTATTTCCACTACCAAATAAACACTTGTTTATATCAGAGATGATACTCTACTGTAGGTAGAGGAGTTGGGGGCAGAAGCCCAGGTGCTGTCTCTATCCCTCCTGAGAGGCTTTCTCAGCTTGATTCATTTCTAACTAGATCACACAAAATCACTATTCAGAAATGCCTGTACAATTCTTCCTTATCATACTCTCCTTCATGTAAGACACAAAAACCAGTGATAAATACAATCAATCAGTAGATACAAACTCTGATGAAATTATTCTGTCCGGTACACACCACTTAGGAGAGACTGTATGAGAGGTTTCCTAGAATAAGTAGTCATTTTTTTTAACCCTCCAACCTGTTATTATATCTCACTACATTCCTCTTCATTCCATATTATAGAAAACAACTTGGCTCAGAGGCCAGGCCAATTGAAAGAATACATAACAGTAAGACAGAACTAGAAAGATTCCCTGAACTTTCCCTAAAGAGAAATATAATTCTACAGCTTTCAGAGTAGAGGGGGGAGTCAGATTTAAGAAGGGAAGAGGGCAGCATGCTGACCACCATGCAGGAGGCAAGGCAGAGATGAAGGTGATGGTGAGATGGGTGTGATATGGAGGAGCCCCAGGTTAGAAAGAAAGTAAGAAAACCTGAATGTTAGTTACTAACAGTGATCTCGGCTGTGCACTGCGGGCACCGCTGCCCTCTTACCGCCTCCTGAGCATGCGATTTGCTCATGATGGTGAGCAGAGTCTGCAAGAGCACATCCAGGAGGCTCTCCACCATCATCTCTACCTCCTCCATGACATCTGCCTCCTGGAGTGAGCAGTGAGAGAGCATGCTGTTAGCATCAGGCCAATGTGATGTTTAGCTGGAAGCACTTACTAAGTCAGCCATATCAGGAGTAAGTCTTCTGACCGGAACCTCAACATCTTTAACAATTTATCTTCTTCCTTTAAGCAATAACTTGGGGACTCCCTCAGACATAACCTTAGGTTACTTGAAGACCTTCTGTACTTGCTGTGGCTTCTCTAAGGCCCGCTGGGAAGGAGACCTGCCAAGGACAGCACTGTTTGGTGCCAAGGAACCTGAAATGGTGGCTAGGAAAGGAGATGCGGAACACATGCCATTGTTGCCCAGGCATGGAGCTATTAACCAACTCCACCTACACAAATCAGAATCTCTGGAAGACACATGTATTAATTTTGATAACAGGGCAGAGGTCAACATCCTGAGTTTAAAGCTTTATTTGATTTCTCTAATAGAGTTGAGAGAAAGTATAATCCTACTAACACATGAAAAAATTAAGTTTGAGAAATGGTAAATTCATACCATAGTATGTGGCAGTAGCATCCTCACTAGTCTTAATGCACATAGGAGTATCTTCTCTTTCTAAGGCTTCTTTTTTGGTTGCTCTCAATCTCTACCACTTTGACTGTTGCCCCTATACTCTTGGGTCCTATGTTTAGCTTCTCAGTTCTTTTATCCCATTCTCAGTCCATGTGATGAACTTTAGTCTTAGTTCATCTTTTTCTGGAAACTCCACAAAAGCAATGGAACATATCTCCTCATCACAGGCTGTTTCCTAGCCATCAGAATTTTGGAAGAGTTTGTTATCTTTTTATAGACTTCTCATATTCATTTCGAATTCTTTAGTTTGATTTTAATTATCACACAAAGAGATTCCCATTGCAACTTCTTTAAGATCTTTATACTACTACTGGTCCTAATATATTCCATCTATCCATTCATCTATCCATTCTTCCATCCACCAATCTATCCATCCACCTATCATCCATCCATCCATCCATCCATCCATCCATCCATCCATCCAGCTACCTATCATTCACCATCCATCCACCCACCCACTCACCCATCCATCCATCCATCCATCCATCCATCCATCCATCCATCCTATAATCCATTCATCCACCTATCACCCATCCACCTATCCATTTACCCACCTATGATTCACCATTGATCCATCCATCCATCCATCCATCCATCCATCCATCCATCCATCCATCCCTCATTAAATATTATGTGCCTTTCACTGTTTGAGAACCTGAATATATGAAGGTGAACAAAAGAGACAATATCTCTGCTTTTGTGGAGCTTAAATTTCATCTTCCCTCTAGCCATTCATCTAATATAATTGTACTCTGCCCCTTACAACTGAAGAATTTGAGTGGCTCTTGGATCTAACATCATTTCTGTTTGCTGATGTGATCCTAGCACTCAGTGAGTCGGTGTAGGCAACAGATTACACTTAACTTTTCAATCCCCGAAATATAATGAAACTATCGCCTTCAGGTTTGCTGGTTCTTACTCCTCCTATTCTTTTTCTTTTTTCAATTTTGTCTTGAATTTATCTTCTTCCTTTAGCAATAAGCTGGGAACTCCCTCAGATATGACCTTATGTCACTTGTAGACCTTCTGTGCTTGGTGGGGCTTCTCTAAGGCCTGGTGGGAAGGAGAGCTTCCAGGTCTTATCTGCCTACCTGGAGCCAAGAGCAGACAACAGGGTCACTAGGACTATCGCAGGCATTCCCTAAACAAGCTGAAACCCAGAAACCAGATGACACTTTAAGTCTAGACACAAGAACTCCCATTTGAGTCCCTGGCCTCTGTTAAATCAAACATATTCTTGTTTTTTTAAAAAAGATGTCTTATGTGTTCCACCTAGATAGTCTAGCCTCTGGGTTGTTTCTCTATTTTAAAGTCACTTGAAATTTTATTAGCTAGGAGTCTTAATAAAATGGTGTAATAAAAATCATTCTTTTTCTTCATTTTTCTTTATATTTTCCTATAGTCTCCAAGTTTTCTGTAAGAAATATGTATTTCTATAAGTATAAAAAATAAATATTACTAAAATAAATTTCCACCCTCATCTATGATTTTCCTTCACTGTCTTATCTCCTTCCTTCCCATCTACTCTTTTAAAAAGAAAAAAATAGAGGAGAGAAAATAGGCAAAACACTATTGGCTGAAACCTGACCTCTAAAGTGCAATTGTACATACCATGAGCCTCAGAGCTCTTGTGGGCAAAATTTACCTCTTGTATATTTCAATCTCATTTGGGACTGTGCAAGAATATAATTGGACAGAATCAAGCTGTCAGGAAGCTGACATAAGACTCTGAGCAAGCAAGCAGCCCCTCAATCTGGTTCTACTTTTCTGTGTTCATGCAGAGTATCCTAAGAAATTCCCACGAATACAGAATTAATATTGTTTGAAAAAGCAAGCATGGTATAACCAAGCATGGGCACCTTCCTGCCACTTGTGAAAACTTATCTTTCTAAGAAGTATGCAAATGATCTTTGTTGGTCTGCCTCTGACCAGACTAATACAAGATTAGGGCAGAGTTGAGCAGGATGGAGCAAAGTGGGTGTGAGGTTACTACCAGAGAGCTGGTCTTGACAATGGAGAAGATGCTGCCAAGAATTCCTGAGCAGATTAGCAACTCTTTCTGTTGCCTCAAGTGAAGATGAATATGATGGAGAACCACAGGAAGCAGGATGCGGCGGGATTCTAGGATAGAAAAACAAACATGAATAAGCCCATTAGAGTAGAATTAGCTACAGCTAGCAATCAGTAGCATTTTGGAACTGAAATGGTTTTAAAGGAGGAGTTGAAGTTGGATCAAAGGTAGAGGTCATCTTCTTCCATTACAAGGGACTAAAAGCTTGGTGCTTGGAAATTGTTAGCAGTCGCACATTTGTTTTGCATCTTTTTTTCCTTTATTCGCATTTCCAGCCCCTGTGTCCATAGTATTTTATGCAATATGAATCTTCAACATGAAATATTTTCAATGATTAGATTTCTTTTTTTCCACTTTTTAAAGATAATATGATTTTATTGAGAAAGAAGTAGCAATGAGATAGCTTCAAAACAGGCCAGTAGTACAGTTACAATAATTAATACATTGCATATTATTGTCTTTTTCCCCCCATAATTTTATTGAGAAACAAATAGCAATGAGATAGTTTCAAACCAAATTGGTAGGACAGTTTCAATAATTAACACACTGCATACATTCTTCCTAGTGGTTAACTGCTGTACAAGATGCGGGCATGATGTCCTATTTACAAACACTATCAGAACGAATCCCTCTATTCATTACGAGAATGTAACTATATATCTATTCTAACCATTTTCACTACACAGATACAAAATGGACATTCATCTGTATACCCTTTGTTTGTTAAATTCCATTATTTGAATATTATAGGTGTGTTAACTCAGCAAAACATTCTACAAGAGTCCAGTAGTCCATAATAGTATTGGGTCTTCCACTTCACTAGAAATGTCAGAAATTGTTGACCTGAGTCCCCTACAGCTCAACATAACCACATGGCTTTACTTCTTATACTTCATTTTTATACTTTTCTGCTGGATGGTTAAGACGAAGATAAAGCAAGAATTATGCAACAAGAGTTGTAGCTTTTGGGTCTGATAAGGTCAGTGAAGTCCCCTCAGGATTTATCCTGAGGTCCTGTACCTCAGATTGTAGATTCTTCGTTAGTGTCAGCCATGTGGATGAGTCACGGCCATTGCTTGGCCAATGTGCTCTCTGTAAAAGACTGAGAGAATGTTTTCTCTCCATGTGACTCTCCTTAGGCACACTCTACATCCTCGATCACTTTCCTCTTTGGCCCCATAATCTCTTTGATCAGAAAATTTGGGACACTACCGAGTTACATGATGTAACAGTACAAGTTTTCATATGTCCTGAGTCTTAATTGACCTTGAAAGGCTAGGGCCAAAAAGTTGGCTTTCCTTGCGGCCCTCCTTTTTCTCTAATTTGGTCTGTAAACTTAGGTTATTAACCATCCAGAAAAGAAGTTTATTGTTATTACCATACAACTTAGGCTGCTAAGCTTAACCTCACTATCTGTCTGCATATCAAACATCTTAGGCATAACACAGAACAGGTATTTTTCATCAAGTATTGATATGTTGAACTTTAAGTCCCTATAGAATATGTTGAAAAACATTTAAAAATTAGAATATATTTTAAAAATAGGTATAAAGAATTATATAATTCTTATATTTACGTGTAAGTCCAAAAATCTAACCATATACAACCTTGAAACAGGACAGTCCCACAACATTCCTTTTCCTGTCTCCTGCCTTCATTCACCACCCCCTTGTTTTTGAACAATCATCTACCTGACACACAGCACAGCAGCAACTGGCATGTTATGACAAGCAGCCCGTATTCAGAAGACCAGAATGACAGGCACTCCAGCCATGAACCTACTATTACAAATTTCCATCCTCAGTGCAGTTGCTTAGTCCCAAGGTGTCAGTATATATATATAGGTAGTTAGGGTGAGAATCTTTCCAATTAACTGCTAGATTCAAAAATCTTCTGGAGATTCTCAGGATCATTGCCTTGTCCATCTTCTATATATGACTGTATGGCTTGTCACTGTCATGTTTCCTAGCTCTTCTCCTTTCCCTCTCTTAATTAGTTAGTCCTTGAGTTCTTACTTTGCTTTTATACTTGTATTATATTATTGTCTTTGTAGTAGTTATTCATAGTACAAGATGCAGACATGATACCTTTTATTTATTTTTATTGAGAAACAAATATCAATGAGACACTTTCCAAGCTGATTTTTTTTTTTTTTTTGGCGGAACCAGGGATTGAACTCAGATCCTTGCGTTAGCCAGTCAAGCACTTATCCTACTGAGCCATCTCCCCGCCCTCCAAGCTGATTAATAGGACATTTTCAATAATTAATAAATTGCACATTGTTATCTTCTCAGCAGTCATCCACTGCACAAGAAGCAGCCAGGACACCCCATCCAAACACTACTACTACAAATCCTTCCTCTCACAGAACCAAGCGAAAGCAGCTGTACATCTACCCTAACTATTCTGTATATACAAATACAAAATGATCCTTTCTCTGTATCCCCCCTCTTCAGTTCAGTCTTGTCAAAGATGGGTATTCTATTGTCATCTAAATATTATAGGTGCTTGAATTCAGCAAAACAGTCCAACACAGTTCAGTAGTCCACAATAGTAGGGGGCTGTCTGCAAAAGTTGTTGACTAGAGCCTTTTACAGCTCAGCATATTAATATGGCTTTACTTTTTATACCTCATTTTTATACTTTTCTGCTGGATGGTTAGGACCAAGATAAAGCAAGACCTACATAACAAGAAATGTAACTTTTGTGTCTGATAACGTCAGTCAAGTCCCCTCAGGATTTATCGTATAACCCTGTACTGCACTTTGCAGGCATGATATCTTGTCTAAACACTATTAGTTCAAAACTTTCTGCTCATTGAACTTAGAGAAAGTAGCTGTATATCTATGCTA